GGGGGGGGGCGGTGTCTACCTGCCCCAGCTGCCAAGTCAGAAGGTTGGAAACAAAGGTGCAGGGATCCCTGCAGTGCCTGTCACTGCTCCCATACACCCCTTTACAAAATCCTGGATCTCCCCATGACTGGCAGTATAACAAATGTACAAGGAAAGGAGTGATGCAGCTCACTACACCTCAAAAGAATGAGATGAAACCTGACTCTGCACTTGTATTAAGGGCTTCCCACAGTCAACCCAGCTGCAAATAGGCTGGCAGTAATTTGGCTGGAGAAGAAGAAACAGATGTGATATCAGCCACATAATTCCCACCAGCTCTAATAGCTGCTTCACTAGTGAGGATCTTGGATCTTTTTTTTGATAAGGGGACTATAGTCAGAAATTCCTCCTCTCCACATCCAATAATACATTATAGTGGTTTTGATATTTTAAGCAGCATATTTAACCAAACAATTATGAGGCTGGTTGACAATTATTTTTCTTATATTTATTTATCTAAGGTCACAAATAAATTTACCTTCATTGTGGCCTCCAATGCATATTTTTTATGTTCTTGTTTTTTAACAGCTTTTGCTTTCATCTCCTTTTTTGCCTTCTCTTGGGCTTTCAGGACAGCATTCTCTCTTATTTTCTGCATTTTTTCCTTGTCAGCTGGAAGAAAACCATTTGTAGTAATTTAGGACTAAGATTTATGTTATCTACTGTGTTTAGGAAGACAGTATTTTTCTCATCAATGGATCTGAGTCAGGCTGGTAAAATGTAAGTCAGCAGATTCCCAAGAGGCAGTCTTCTCTCAAACTTACTTTTAAAAGAAGCAACATTGGCTTTACATAGGCATTGCATTTATGTTTTTAAGGGTAAGGTGTACAAGACTTATGATCAGTAGAAGTGTTTAGTTTTTCTTAGTCCTATTAAATATATTCTACAGAGCTGGGTACCTGAACAGTATACAGAACAAGACAGACAAAGTGAAACAGAAAATACAAAGTGAACTTAATTGTCCAAGATATCAGAAATACAAAAGAGGAAACAAATCAAAAGTAACAAAAAATAGTGAAGTAAGGTTTCTAATCTAAAACCCGCCAAAAACCTAGGTTCTTTATTTCACATATTGCACACATCAAATGTTAATTTTTACACTGGTGCTACCCATAAATTTTACCACATAGATGACATAAAAGAGGCTTATGGGCTTCAGACATATATGAATATGGATATGAAATAATTCTAACATTCAAAACAAACCAGAGCTGTTCAACAAACATTTAGTTTTGAAATCCATGCATGTCTAATGATCAGTGTAGAATGACTGTCCATTACTTATTCTTTTCTGTTCAAATATACCTATTTATTTGAGCTTTATACAGCCATAAATAAGCCTGAAGTGATGATAATAATATGCAATAGAAATTAGATGCATTTTCATTAAGCTGGCAATGAAGAGCCACACTTTTTTTTTTTTTAAGTTAACCTAATAAAATGTCTTCTCACAATGGCAGAGAATATTCCAGATATTTACTATAACTACATTGCATGGATTTCTGGTTGTTCTCGACATGTTGCTACAGGGCAAGAATTAGTTGTCTTTGTCAATCTGTTTCTCATAAAAGTTATATGAATTTTGTTGCTGTGTGTTGTTAATGTGTTCATTCAGGGTTGAGGTTCATGAAAGGAGCACACAAGACTGGCTGTGTATGGATGTTTTTTAAAAAACAAAACTTAAAACTATAACGTACTCTTTGGATGTATTACCCATGTATTTAACATGGCAGGCACAGATCTTTCTCCTTAACTCCAACCTAACACATTTTTGCATAGATATTTACTTCTATTTTTGTGACTGTTCAATGTTATTGCAAAAATTACTGCTGCAACAAAAGACACTGCAAACGAACAAGTCACTCTGGCCTCTGCTTACTTGGATAACTATATCTTCTGCTGTCATCTTTTTGTTTGTTTCTGGGTTTTTTTCTGGGGAATTTACATAACACTGGAAATAACCAATTTGGCTCCAACAGTAGTAATATACAGCCAACTATAAAATAATTTTACATAAATTATTGAGGAGAAAAGATTTGATGTACTTTTTATTTTTATTTATTTATTACATAACTCAGGGCTGTCCAGCTTCAGTGACACTAGGGGCTGCATGCCATACTGGTCACATATCACACGGTCTGCACACCTCATGGGCTCCCAAGGACCCTCTCTCACAGCCAGTACAAACCCCCACATCTGCCACTGCCATGCCACAATCCCCCAAACACTGTTACACAAGCAGTGTGAGCTACATTTCACAGCTGAGAACTTACTATTTTCCATAACCAGGGATTCCCAGGTGGCTGCTTCTTTTTTATATAAAGTGAAGAAAACTGATCCATTCTCAATCTTTGCTGTACTACTGGTATCATCAATGGGAGCATATAGAATGGCTTCAAATAAAAATGGAGGGACATTTACCTATAAAATAAATATAAACATGTATTTGTTTTTTATAAAATATATATGTAAAAGTTTCTTAAAACACTCATTAAACAACTAACTCCCTACTGAATATTTTAGATGTTTAGCAAATGTTTCCTCATAAGTACCAAGACAACCACAACAGCTCATGAAAGATAATCTACTAACAAGAATGTAATTTTCTCTGAAAGAGATTGTTTGTAGTAGCTTAATCTAACTCATTATATAAGTATCAAAGATTAGCATTTAAAACATGCTATATTTTTATTGTGCAATGGGAAATGCTGAGTAACAACGGATAAATTATTGCTGCAGTGACAATACAAATCAGTATATGCCAGCAAATACTCATGGTATCAACACCAACAACTAGTAGTATTACCATGACACTATAGGTATACTATTATACAAACATAGGCTGAGTCACTGCTTCACAATTTATTCCAGTCATACTTTAGTCATAAAAAACTGCAGCCAATAATGCACAAAACCTATACAGCTAAGCATAAAAACCCCATAGGGACACTGTCAGATACATTTAAAAAAACATGTTTAACAGAAGATAAAACTATGTATATAGTTTTGCATTATTGTGTGACAACATTGTAATCGGTTTACCTTTGTAGTAAAGAAAAGGGGATTTTCAAGGACATAATGCGTTAGGCACCAGATTCTGCCCCCCAGTACTACAGCTGCAAATAAGAACAGAATTTGGCCAATGGATTACAAATTACTGGCTAATCTAATTTTGCCCAGAATCCCGAGTTAAACCTGTATATGATCAAGGCCAATAATAAAAAGAAAAATAAATATCTTGCTCTCTTCATTTCCTGGCTCCAATCACCTGATGTGGGTCAGAGATTACTCCCCTTCCGGGTGCAGATGTGGGGTGGGGTGCAGTTGCTCTGCTTAAACTGTAAAACCTTCCCCCTGAGAGGAAAAGCAGCATTCCTCTTTAGGAAGTGCTGAGGTAGTCAATTGACTTCATGGATCATTATAGTGTACCCCAGGGGCTGTCAATCAGGGGTACACATACACCTGGAGGTACTTTGCAAGTCTCAAAGAGAACGCAGGGCCAAGCAGAGATCCCATGCTGCTGCCTCACAGGAGCAGGGCCGCACAGACACTGTGCTGCCGCTACTCTGCCACTCGCACCCTGGGGGTACACTTATTAAAAAAAGGTTGAAATTCCCTGGTGTACCCAATTCCTGCTCATCTCGGGTGCCCATGACCCTCTCCTTTTTAAGGGTCTTGATGTTCTGTTAATCAGACTGCCCTTTCTCCTGCAGTCTATTAGCCATTCCTGGGAAAATCTCTTCGGTTTCAGAGCCCTGTCTTGACTTCAGTTCCAGCTAAAATCCTCAACTCAGGTGTGATAACATTAACATTAATCAGGTGAACATCAACTCATGTGGAAATGATTGACCGTAAAGAGTTGGAGGCACTGTCAAAATGTTTGGGAAAGCTAGATTCTGTTTTATGAATGAAGAGATTGCCATTTCACTATAATGGACTATGAGACTAATATCTTTTGCCTACTTCATTGTGTTTTTTAAACCCGATGTATCTTCTAGCAAATTAGTGCAGGTTCCAATTAAGTTGCATTCATTCTTGCTTCCCTCAAATAAAACAACACAGCTCTAGACACCTAGCAGGTTAATAAAGCTTCTCGTTTCTTTTTACCTGGAGAAAAAGATGTGTTGTTTTATACGTGATGATGTTGCACGGCACCATCTGCCCCCTCCCCTTTTCAAAATCCTAGATCTACCCATGACCCCCGTCAAGTCATCACTGCTCCCCCTTACAGGACGGGCGGGCGGGCCGCGCCTGGAGCTCGCGGTCGCCTCGGGGCCTGCGGGCTCCGCGAGGCACCGCCCAGGGAAGCTCGGGGCGGCGGCGGGGGAGGGTCCAGCCTCCTGCCGCAGAGGGGACGGGAGGGCAGGGCCCGCTCAGGCCACCCCACCTTCAGGTATTGGTCGGTGCAGAAGATGTTGGCCGGAGCGACGCGGACCCCGTGCAGCGACAGCGACACGTACACGGCGGCGTCCGTCTGCCGCCAGCTGTAGTCCCGCAGCCACACCGGCATGGCGCGCGGGCGTTGCTAAGGGCGCTCTCCGCGTTGCTAAGAGAGGCCCCGACTTCCACTGCGCTCCCACGAGCACTTCCGGGGCCGCTGCATGCTGGGATATCGCCCCACGTAGCCCCGCCCCCTGGGGCGCGGTGCATGCTGGGACGCGCAGTCTCCAAGGCCCGGCGGGGGCTGCTGTTGCCGGCTCGGGGCTGTTGCGTCCCGGGCACTTTGGAGCGCGCGCGAAGGGGCTTGTGGTGCTGGCCCTGCCGGCAGTCACAGTCACCGCACACGGGGCGGGTCACACATGACGGGCTTCTCCCTCTAAGAGCTCCCGCGGCCCCAGCTGGATTGGAGGCAAAGCGCGGAATTGCAGAGAGCCAGCCCCAGGCGCCACGTTTGAAAGCACTGCAGCCCCCGCTGCCGCGTCCGGGCCGGCTCGGCAGCACCCAAGAGCAGGAGCAGGGCTCGGGCCGTACCGCATCGCTTCCCTCCAGGCTGCGGCGGAGCCCGGCTCCCGGGGCAGCTCCGTTCCCCGGCCCAGCTCGGCCCGTTTTCCTCTGCAGTGCCTTAGGAGCTGGAGCCGTGCCAGACTCGGCTTCTCTCAGCTGATGAGTCCAAGGACAAACTGGATCAGCTGTGCAGGAATCTACATGCAAAAAGTGCAAAGGGACCTGAATCTCCCACCTTGTCCCCCTGCCCTTTGGTCCCCCTACACCACATGAAGGGGCTGACTAGGGGTAACGTATTTCACTTCGTGTTTGTTTTAAATGTGTACAAAAGCTACATATGCCAGTCCTTGGAAAGCAACTGGAAATTGCTTTGGGACACATTATGTAAGAATACTGATCTAAAGACATGCCAATGTTTTTTCCAATTCTTCTGTTCAAGCCTCTCTTGCAGCAGAGTGAGATGTGTCTTTTCAAAGCATATAATTGTGAGGGAAATAGAAAGTGTTTTGAGGATTAGAGTCTA